GCCCATGGCCCCCCAACATTTTTCAAATTATTATTAGATTATATAGAAATATATGAGGTGTTAGCATAGACCCCTCGTTAGTCTCTAATTGTCCCAAAAATATATCTTTTAAAAAATCTTGCATCAAAATTGTTTGTTGACTTTCATGAAAAGACGAAGTTAGAGAGAAGAACGAGTTGAAATGTACTTTAAAAACAAATCACTTGAATCCTCTTTCTTCGCCGTCGAAGAGTCGCCGGAGTTTTGCCTTCATGGAGAAGCCGCGACCAAAACTAAAGGGCTGATGACCCGTTGCCTGATAAAAAAATTGCTAAACAGTCCCCGACTTAAAGGAGAAGAGGGTTTTTTTTTTTTGAAATTGAAGGGGACTAATTAAATTGAAAATTTTGGAAACTTCATTTTGGGGCTTGTTTTCCAAAATTTTAAATTAAAGGGTATTATTTGAGTCTTTCCAGGTCAAAAAAACAACCCCAATCGCATATTTCGTGAGTGTATGACACCATCAACTCGGATGGGCATTATTGCCTTTGATTAATTTTAATAGGGGGTTCTTGCTAAATGTTTTAAAACAAGGACTTTTGCGGCAATTAGAGATTACACAATGATGGTTAGTGCTAAAAGTTCAGAAATATATATAAAAACAATCATGTATAATAGCATCAACGGCCCCTCTAGAGAAATATATATAATTTGGATTTATAATGCATATCAAGCGCAGACATGAGATTCGAACTCATTATATATCTTTCATATTTTGTCTACTCTGATGCCATATTGAATGACCAGCTCAACCAAAAATTTAAGTTTGTAGTAAAATTTGAAATGTATCATTTAATATTAATATCTCCAACAATATTAATTACTACGATTGAACTATATAGGCTTTGAGATACACCTGGAATGTAGCGCCTCGCTCCGAGTAGCAGGCACCTTTGTGGCGGAACACCACTCAACATGCAGTACATTCAATGACCCCAAATATGATCCTCAAAATTTCGATAATCAAAATATTAAACCCCAATATCTATACCATCGTGTTTACAAAAGGGGATTCTATTACAAGTCGACTTCGACACTACTTACTCTATTACAAAATTCTCGATCAAAGGATCCTATACGGAACATTATTAGAGGTACCTCTCGACGAGGCTAATTGGAGGCATACACGAGCTTTAACACTTGGTATGAAAATTTAGGTATAAGTCTTTCTTTTACCTGCGCATTAATATCAGAAAGGATAAACGAATAAGTCCGAATGACTTAGTGAAAAACATATGATCCCTGAGTATGATGAGAATCAACAGAATAGAACCTATAACGAGAGACTTTACAAGAATTTCATTAACATAAGTGTAACATGTACAAGAGTGTAACATGTACGGCTTGAGTTCAATATTTGGTCGGGTCTCCAACCTTGTAACTCCCAACAAATAAAATCATATCACATCCTTGTCCCTCCACTCCGTCCCGAGTGGCCACTCGGTCGGAAACAAGCAAGAGGCACGACCGGAACGTGCCGATCCGGCTCAGGAACGTTTAACTCCAAACAAACGTGAGTCCGAACCATCAGGAGGTACCATTCGGGAGACCAGTCATCGTTAGCCCAATACTGCCCGATCGTCTTGCCGAAATGGTCCTAGGGCCCAGCTCCCCCAAGAGCGTCCTCAAGGGTGGGGACAGTAGGTTCAAGAATCAATATCATTCCTTTTAGGAATATCAAGTCATTCATTTCATGAATCAAGTCAATCGTTCACAAGATAAGTCACGATCATGATAATTGAATATCATGTCTCAAAATAATGAACATGTTCAGATTTCAATTCAAGCCAATGAAAGAATTGTCGTGAATATGGAATTCAAGAAGAACAATAAGTTCCATGTAAGGTTCGAAGAACGAGTTTAGCAGGATCTCAATGAATTCAATAAACATGAGATTCACGTTCGAGCCAACAAAATATTTATTCTCGAAAAGCATTCAAGACAAGATTTTGAGAATAAATATAGTTCAATATCGAGTCAAGGAAAATGTTCAGGCCAAGGAATCAAGTATAGGAATTAGCCGTGAACATAGCAACCAAGAGAATTGACAAGTTCAAGATTTCAAGAAACAGGATCAAGGTTCCAAGTTCGAGCAAAGAAACGAATAAGCTCGCAGAACATTAAGGATCATATTCCAAGAAAAATATAATCAATGCATCAAAGGTCAAGATGGAGAATATATTTGGTTCAAACAAAGGAGATATTAAGCGCAGGAAAGAAATCTGATAAGGAGTCAGTTTCTCACCTGGAGTCCAATGCTAGTTCTATAGGTGCATCTTTAAGCTTAAACCTTGAGTGAGAGCTTTACTACGCTCAACACCTATGGAAATATTAGAACTAAATAAGATTCTGAACAGTAATATAGCCATATTACCATCCACTATATGGCATAGTCAATTTCTTAACATATACTAAGAATTGCTTCTCGTGGCACTTTATTCAAATAATCACTGCGATCGTCGTACTTATCTGAATGACCTAAACGATATATATAGTTAAAGATAACATCTGTATCTACAAGTTTACTAAAGACCTTAATCCCAAATTAACAACATAACCCGTCCATAACAACCCCGAAAGATGAACACACAAACCTGCCAGATTGTCGGATAATTTCGTTTACTGTCACAGTCCGTTTGAAAACTCATAACAAATTGTCCAAATAATACATCAAATGAAACCTGACAACTTAATCTACAAGTTTCATGAAGACACACAGCCCAAATTATGATCCCAACATATCGAAAACAGTCCCGCAAGAAGATACTCAAAAACTGCCCTGTTTCCGGCAGATTACTGTCATCGGATTCTGACCTCTAAAACATGCATATTACATACTCTAATTCGATACAATTGAACACTTACATATAGTTTACGATGTCCTCTACGAGTTTCCTGAAGGAACTGATTCCGAATTCGCATCCGAAAACAGGTGCGGCAGCATATTTTATTTCCCCAAAATCCCAGCGGGCTGGCTGACTTTTCTTCAAACTCCGGCGACCACCGGCGGTGCAAACCATCGAGAACCACCGCCAATAGAGAGCCAAATTCATTAGCTTTCTAACGATGGATCCTTATTAACGAGGTTCAATCTCAAACAATTATTTCTTTGAAGGCCTAACCGCTGAAATTCGAATTATTCGCCGGATTCCGGCCACGACCCTATTTGCTGGAAATAGAACATGTTGCTATTTTGAGATTTCTAGATTTACTAATTGAACATCGGAAGAACAAAGGTTCTAAAGGGTGGTCGGCCGAGAGTTTTCATGGAGAAAGGAAGATACCATGAATATTGCTATTTCTAGAACTGTTAAAAAGAAAGTGAATATGAGATAAACATATTCACTTAATAAGTTGAGATACAAGTGAATATGAGATAAACATAAAAAGAAAGTGAGAAGGAAACCAATCCACGTAGATTGAATTTCCTGATATTTGCTTATAGAACAACTATTTTATTTTATTTGCAAAAAGAGGACATAATTGTAGATAATTACCATCAACCTCAAGTTATATGAAAAACCCATATCTAACATATATCAACTAACTAAATTCAAATATCCTAATTTTCTATAATAAAAATGTTATCTTCAAACTTAAACAACTTACACATTTACGGGGTGTTACATGGAATTTGGACAAGGGAGCAAGTAGAGGCATGGAAGCCAATTGTAGATGCAGTTCATGAAAAAGGTTCCATCTTTTTCTTGCAACTGTGGCATTCTGGCCGTGCCATTACTAATGGTATAAGAAATTAAACATTATTCAAGTTTTATTTTATTTTAATTTGCAAGAAAACTCATTTTCGAAAAGCTTATTGTGTATACATATACTTGCTTCTAAAACGATGCTCAACTAGGTTTTTATTTGGCCATCGGTTTTCTACCCAATAACCAAACTCCAGTCTCATCAACAGCCAGGGGAATAACCCCTGGCGTTGATGGACAAGAGTGGGCCCCACCTAGACAACTGACGAAGGATGAAATTCCTGGTGTTGTTAATAATTTCAGGATCATTGCTCGTAATGCTATTGAAGCAGGTTTTGTTATGTGCTCTATTTTCAAATAATTCGAGTTCGTTAAGCTTCTAATTTGATTTATTTAGAGTTGACATTTGAAAATTCTTATAATTATATTGGTACTCAAACATAATCTGACTCCTACAGTAAAATTTGTCTCCTTTCACTATAAACAAATTTTATATTGGGTTAATCTCAAAAGGTCCATGATAAGGGCACTTAATTAAAAGAGGGACATCCAACTTTTTTGTCTTTCAAATAAATCCAATTCAATCAAACTTATTTGCAAATAAGGAAAATCATTATATATATACCAAAATTACAATCAATTCATTAAAACTCAATTTAACTCCAATTTCATGATTTACACCCCAATTTAGCCCAATTTCACCAATTAACCAATTTTAACCATAATTTTAATCTTGACCCCAATTTTGACCCGCCACCACCGGAGACCGCCGATCAGCCGCAGTTGACCGCCGGTCTCTGGCGGTGACTTTTTTTTTTTTTTTAAACTTTTTTTTTTCTGAATTTTTTTTCCGGTAGGTCAACCACCGCGTTGACTTTTTTTTATATAATTTTTTTTTTTCTTAAAAAAATATTTTAATTAATATAACTGTCTTGATTGCTAAATTACTGTCTCCAGCAGTTATTTAACTGTCGGAGACAGTAATTTAACTGTTAATTGACTTTTTTTTTTTTAAAAAATATTTTAATTAATAGTCTTGGCTGCTAAATTACTGTCTCCAGCAGTTATTTAACTGTCGGAGACAGTAATTTAACTGTTAATTGACCTTTTTTTTCTTAATTTTTTTTTAATTAATATTACTGTCTTGGTTGCTGAATTACTGTCTCCGGCAGTTATTTAACTGTCGGAAACAGTAATTTAACTGTTAATTAACCTTTTTTTTCTTTGAAAAATATTTTAATTAATATTACTGTCTTCGTTGCTAAATTACTGTCTCCAGCAGTTATTTAACTGTCGAGGACACTAATTTAACTGTTAATTAACTCTTTTTTTTTTTGAAATATCGTTTTTTCTTTAAAAAAAATTTGATTAATATTACTGTTTCAACTGCTAAATTACTGTCTCAGACAGTAATATTACTGTTCGGAAATATAATATTAATAATATTATTGTCTCAAACAGTAATATTAATTTAGCAGCCAAGACAGTAATATTAATTAAAATATTTTTTTCTAAGAAAAAACAAAATTAAAAAAAAAAAAAAAAAAAAGTCAACGCCGGAATTTGGCCGGAAAAAAGAATTCATAAAAAAAAATTATTTTCTGAAAAAAAAAATATTTTTTCAAAAAATTATTATTTTGGGGGTTAATGTGATATATTTGTTTAAATCCGGTGTCAATGTGTAATATTAAGGAAGTTAGAGCATTATGGATGGAATTGATAAGAATTATATTATGGAGGGTATTTTAGGCTGAAGATGTGACGCCCACTACCGAAATACACAGTAACTTTTTTTTTTTTAAATAAATAAATACAATGACTACTAATCAATACAACAACTTCAACTTAAGTTATCATCACTAAAATAAAATACAAATGGGCGACCAAAGTGCACAACTACAATCTCGTAAAAATATATCTTGAACAACAATCAGCTTTGAATAGAACTAGAATACAAATAAACTCTATAAAACTTCCAAGTAACTTTACTCCTAAGTGCAGTCAACACAATCGTCCACTTATAGCACCTGCCAGTGAGAATAAGAAGGAAAATAAAGGAGTAGTAAGTCCAAGTGGACTTAGTGAGGATTGCAAGGGAAAAACATTGGAATAAAATCATAAGGACAATAAGAAAACAATTGACAAGTCGGACATTATATTGGAATTGGACCATCTAGAGAAGGATCATTTGATAAGGTACAAAGTCAAAGTATGAGAGCATAACAATCCAATCGGAGTAAGCAATACAATCAATATGAACAGGTAGAGAACATTTTCAACGAGAAATTCCCGAATATCAATTATGAATTTCGTGGGAATGAGATTCCCACGGTAAAAGTTCTGGATATCACATAAGAATTTCATGGAGATTCCCATGGTAATAATTTTGGATATCAAATAAGAAGACCATGGAGATTCCCATGGTAACAATTTGTTCATGTACCTGTACCTGCCTTGTGACTCCCTTAGCCGTTACTACCTTATACACCGATCAGGGAATGACCCTGCTAATCGATCAATAGGCATGCACGGGCGCATGCCGATCCATCCATCAGCATAGTTAACCTCCAACTATGCCAATGGTCTAGATCCAATATGGGTACTGTCGAAGAGACCTTCCACCGTCGGCCCAATACCGCCCAGCAGTCTTTTTCGAACAGCCCCGGGCCCAACTGGTCAATTATCCTTAGGGCGTCCCCAAAGGAATCAATAATATAGAGATATCGGATATGCTTCCGACTATCTCAATTTACAGTTCGAATCCCAATAATGAATTCCACTTTGGAAAGAATCAATATCATAGTTCAATAGTTTTGGGATTCCAATAACAAGTGATAATAATTTGTGGTCACGAAATCACAAGTCAAGAAAGGTACGATCGGTTTCAGTAAAAGAGTGACCACAATTCAGGATCGTATAACAATTGATAAAGATTGATCTCAATCAACAATAGTCTACGGTTAAAATTGAATCCGTAGTTGTATAGCTCGAAAGACAGGTGGTTTCAAAGGATCAATGAAAAGACAAGATGTGAACGATCCATCAATTCACAGTAGGTACGAAAGAAATGATTTAATGGATAAACACAATAATCCTAAATGGTCCAAGAGTCAGGAAAAGAACGATTTACGTTTATTGAACCACCGGAGAAACAAATCAAAATGATTTAATGAATCATAAGGTTCCAACTAGTATACGAGTCAAGATGTGAAACGACTCAAAATTGATAGAAAATCAGATTGAAACTCGTTGAATTATTCAAGGTCGATAAATGAACTTAATTGAGTAGTCAAGGAATCGAGAAGAGAAATTATTGAAATAATTCTCGAATCAAGATGAGAACTTATTAAGTTCCAGGAAAAGGATTTCGAATCGATCAAAGATTGCAATAGCTCAAGAATCCACAATTCTCGGAAATCAAATTAGTTCACAAGATAGGCGACAATAAATATATACTGAATTTAAACGACGAGTAATAACAATAATAAACCGAACGATACGAGTGCTCGGCATATATTCTGTTCCCAGAAAGAATAGATAAGGGACAGGGATCCTCACCTGAAGTCCAATGCAAGTGCTATAAAAACACCTTACTCTTGAGTCATGCTCAAGTCTTGAATGAGAGCTTTAGTACGCTCGACACCTATAACAATATTCATCACTTAACAATATTCAAAATGCTAATATAACCGTATTATTCCACTATATCACATAGTCAATATCTTGAAACATTTTACGAATGTCTTGCTGCCACAGCTTATTCGAACAATCGTTACGATCACCTTACTTATCCGAATAACCTTAACGATATATCATATTAAAGCTAACATCTATATCTACAGGTTCACTTTGGACCCCGAGACCAAATCATCAACCTAACACATCAATAACAGCCTCGGAATATGAGTACATGAAACTGCCAGATTTTTTTAAACAAATGCATTTGCTGGCAGTGTTTATTCGAAAAATCATAACAATTTGTAAAGTTATTCAAGTTGTGCAAATAATACACCAAATTGAACCTGAAAATGTAATCTACAAGTTCTCAGAAGACAAACAACCTAAATTATAAGCTCAGCATAGCAAAAACGGCCCCGTAAGAAGAATACTCAAAACTGCCCTGTTTTTACAGATTTACTGTCACCTGATTCGGACCTCTAATCAGCTATAAAACGTATTCCAACTCGACACAATTTAACACTTACTTATAGTTCTCGCGGTCCTCTACGAGTTTAGTGAAGGAATTATTCCCAAATTCTCACTCCAAACCCTTCGATTTTGGCTCCGAAAACAGGTGCGACAGCAGATTTTGCTTTCCCCAAGGTTGCAATGAGCTCGCCAAATTCCTAAATTCGACTTTTTCTTCAATTAACTTCCATGATTTCAGCCAAGTTCCTCAATTGCCTAATGACCAAGTTTACTAAATTATAGAATTATTATTATGCTTATGCCCCAAAATTATCACATAATAACATATCAGCCCCCAATTCTCATTATAAAGTACAATAAACTCTCGCATAAATTACGGGGTGTTACACATATCAACCCTACACATAAATTATCACACATTGCTTATATACCAACATACATACACACAAAAACACACACGAACACAAACATTATACACACAAAGAAAACATTATTTAACAAAAAAAAAAAACAAAAAAAAAAAAACAAAACAGGCAAACATCAACTTCCCCGTTTAACAAAGCCAAACCATCATGTCAACATAATAATACTTAGGAAAGAAGTTCGTAAATACAAATCAAGGGTACATACAAATATATTAATTACTCCTAAATCCTAATTAGCTTCTTCAAGAAATGGATAATCAGTGTAACCAACAACAGGGTCTGGAATGTAAAATGTACTCCTATTGTACTTATTAAGAGGAGCATCAATTTCGAACCTTCTCACTAAATCCGGATTCGCCAAAAACGAGCGTCCATACGCAATCAAATCCGCATAATTTTTAGAAATGGCTAAATTGCCCTTACGCCTATCGTATCCCCCAGCAGCGATAAAAGTATTCTTGAAAGCCTTTCTCATGGGAAGTAGCTTATGAGGTACTTCATCTTCCGGCCCTTGAAGCACCACCGTACCGTACACTCTCGGTTCGATAACATGTAGGTAGCGAATGTCGAACTTATTAAGTGCGTTTGCCATGTAAAGGCCTAGTGCATCCGGATCCGAGTCGATTGCCTCGTATAACTTCGCGTATGGAGATAGTCTAATCCCAACCCTATTTGAGCCGATCTCATTGGCCACCGCTTCCACTATTTCCAGTGCAAATCGGCACCGATTTTCCTAGCACCCGCCATATTCATCGGTTCTATCATTTACTTGATCCTTGAGGAATTGTTCGATTAAGTAGCCATTTGCTCCGTGTAATTCAACTCCATCAAATCCTACAATTAAAAAAAAAAGGGGGAAAAATAAAAACAAGATATTAAAATATAAAATTTGTTTATAGCGGAAGCCTGGAAGGAGAGAAATTTTACCGTAGCAGTCAAATTATGTTTGAGCACCAATATAATTTTAAAGATTTTTCAAATGTCGACTCTAAATAAATCAAATTAAAAGGTTAACGAACTCATATAATTTGAAAATAGAGCACATAACAAAACCTGCTTCAATAGCATTACGAGCAGCGATCCTGAAATCATTAACAACACCAGGAATTTCATCCTTTGTCGGTCGCCTAGGTGGGGCCCACTCTTGTCCATCAACGCCAGGGGATATTCCCCTGGCAGTTGATGAGATTGGAGTTTGGCCATTGGGTAGAAAACCTGATGGCCAAATAAAAACCAAGTTAAAACATCATGTTAGAAGCAAGTATGTATACACAATAAGCTTTTCGAAAAGGGGTTTTTTCGCAATAAAATAAAATAAAAAGTGAATTGTGTTTAATTTGTAATACCATTAGTAATGGCACGGCCAACATGCCACAGTTGCAAGAAAAAGATGGAACCTTTTTCATGAACTGCATCTACAATTGGCTTGCATGCCTCTACCTGCTCCCTTGTCCGAATTCCAGGTGTATCTCGGTACCTGTAAATTTGACCGTAGTAACTAATGTTGTTGGAGATATTAAATATTAAATGATACATATGCGTGCACTTGCTATAATACTATACATTATAAATCCAAATTGCAATATTAGTTAGTAGCCCGGCAACTAGACCATCCTTTTGAGGTTTAAAAGATTAGTGTGAGTGCAAAAAGATTTTGGTACAATAGATTTTTTTTGTTTTTTGGAAAATATAAAATTACAATCTTTCTAAAAATAATTCAATAGGGCCCCAATAAGTTAAAATAATTGCAATATAATTTTCCTCTCTTTTTTTTTCTAAATTAAAATCGATATTTTTTTTAAGATCGACAATGTCGCAAGAAAGATTAAGAGCCAAAACGAAGATGATATGCTCGAAGAAGTTGAAAAATAACGATTTAACACATTTGTATCTTTCAAGCCAAAACGAAGTTCTTTCATAAATATACTTTAAGTTTATATCATATATTAGGATAAAAAAATGGCCCCGGTTCACTATTCATTTTTAGGCAACGAAATACAGCTAAACCTCTTTAAATTAATACAGTCGAGACTAACAAAATTCTATTAATTTAGCGAACTAATAGTTTAATATGTTTTTACCCAGTTGGGACCAAAAGAAAGTATTATTTAAGCGATGCTATTAAATCAACAAGATGCATCTTAAAAGTTCAAACTTCGATACGTGCCGGGCTTAAATCTAATAAAGTCGAACTTTTTTTTTTTTGCATTCGATACCCCTGTGTTTTAGTTTAGTTGTTAAAAGAACTCTCTATAAGTGTTAGCAATAAAAAAAAAAAAATGGGAAAACAAAACAGCAACAAAAAAGAAGAAGAACCTGTGAGAGAGATCAAACTCTCCCATTTTGTATTGAGTGAGCAGAGGAATATTTTGAACTTCCATAACCCTGGTTCTATGGTAAATATGTTGTAAAGAGAGGATAATAAATATGTAGAATTGTTCACTCACACGAGTTTTGTACGATAAACTAACCGAGCCAGGATTTCAAGTTCGGGGGCAAAAGAATTTCTTTTTTCTCTAGTGGGGCCATTGATGCTATACATTACATGATTGTTTTTATAGATATTTATGAGCTTTTAGTACTAACCATCTCTGTGTAATCTCTAATTGCCACAAAAGTTTATGTTTTGAAACAATTAGCAAGAACCGCTCTATTAAAGTTAGTCAAAGGCAATAAATGCCCATTAATTTAAAATTTTGGAAAACATCCTCAAAATGAAGTTTTTAAAATTTTCAATTCAGCCCCCTTCAATTTCAGAAAATCCCTCTTCTCCTTTAAGTCGTCAGATACTCTTTAGCAAATTTTTTTATCAGGCAACGGGTCATCAGCCCTTTAGTTTCGGTCGTGGCTCCTCCATGACTAAAGGCAAAACTCTGGCAACTCTTCGACGGCGAAGAAAGAGGATTCAGATGATTGGTTTTTAAAGTACATTCCATCTCATTTTTCTCTCTAAATTCGTCTTTTCATAAAAGTCAACAGACAAATTTGATGCAAGGACCGGTGTGCGTCGCAAAACACAACATAGGAGGGTTTTCGTTAATTATTTTTAACATATAGATTTTTGGAACAATTAGAAATTACACAGGGGGCTATGCTAACGCCTCATATATTTCTATATAATTTAATAAGAATTTTGAAAAATGTTGGGGGACATGGCCCCTTTAGCCCTATACTGGCTCCGCCACTGATGTCAAATGAAACTCTTATCATTTTCTCCCCACCAACAAGTGATAGCAGCCACACACCTTAATATATATGTAAGAACTTTTTTATTTTATTTTATGTGAATGAGTAATTATTAATTAAAATAAAATATTTTAATAGAAGCGACAATTGTAAAATACCTTAAAATTAATTAATGTGCACATGTATATTGTACGCAGCCACACATGTCAACATTGACTGACGTGCATGGATCAGGGTTATAGCTTTGTCTCATAGCGCGTGTGGTACTGTCAACAACAAGAAGGGTATTATTGGAAAATACACATTTTAACATTGGCCCGGTTAATCCTGATTGAACCGGGTTTTCTTTTTCTAATTCCTAATTATTGTTTTAATTTTTTTCTTTCAAATATTATACCTTGATAACTTATGCAACTGAGTTCATCCTAATTTTAAAATTTCTGATATTTCCGAATTTATTTGGAACAAAATTATTGTTATTATTTTTTTTCTTTTTGCCCAAAAAGATTTATTATTCCAATATTTGAAAGAGTTTTGGGGTCGCGTTAAATCCTTGTGGACCTACATAAGGAAAAAAAAGTACCCCTACAATGGCAATAAAAATCAAAGGAAACTCTATTTAGAATATTACCCAACAGCCCCAACTTGGGGTGCAAATGAAATAATAGAAAATGAAGCTTCCTAAATGAACCCCACCTAGGCTGAAAGTGCAAATATCGAAACTTTTCATTTATTTAGAATATTACACAACAGCCCCAACTTGGGGTGAAAATGGAATAATAGAAAAGGAAACTTCCTAAATGAACCCCACCTAGGCTGAAAGTGCAAATATCGAAATTTCTCATCCCCACTCCACCTGCCGGATCTAGTCCTTTTCATCTTGAAGTTGTACGAAGCTGAGGAATTCCGATCCTATCTTGAAGAAATAGTGACCTAATATGGCGAGGGAGATCGCTTGTCTCTTTAAATTGCTTCTTCTCTTTGTGAGCATGTGCACATTCGGCAAGTCCATCTGCCGATCGATTTCCTTCGCGAAAAGTACGAACCACCCTCCGCTGAACCCTGGAGAACGAAATTAGAATGGTATATAAAATTATCGAAAATTCCGATTTTTGATTCGATTTTAGTTCCAAATATTTCTATGGTTTCTCCCTCTTTTTTTCTCGTTTTTCTCCTATTTTCTTTTCTCCCTGTCTGCATTTTATTCAACTTCAATTCCTATTTTTTTTCCAGCTTCGTTTCCTTTAAAATAAATTCATGCTAAACTGTCTTCTAATGGTTCAAATTCTCAACAACCGTGTCTTAGATCCAAACATTATATGTCTTATTTTTCTGGAACCATCAACTCCAATATAGTCAAACCCATCAAGTGAATCTCCCTCCTCGGTGGTTCTTAAGAGTAAACAATTGATCATTCATTTTTTCTGCATTAAAACAAAAAAAAAGAATTCAATCAATAAAATCCCATTAAAAAAAACTGAAAAACCCCTCATTTCGAACTACATCAGTCCTTATTTCAACGAATGGTAAAAATCGACAAAAAACCCTAATTTTAACTAACAGTAAAAATCGACAACAATAAAAAAAAAAACCTAAGTTTACTCAAGAACATACCCTGAACCTTCAAAGCTCATCGAATTGAAGAACCCCAAAAACTTTTCACTGTAACCACACAGGTTCACGGCTAAGTTGAGAAAAATCCTAGAATTGAAAATATTACCTTCTTCTACAGTAAGCGTCCTTCGAATGCACTCGTACAATAGTTCTTCAAACCAATTTCGCGAAAATTCAGAGAGAAAGGGAGATTTTTGTGAGAGTTTTTGCCTTATGAACATTCGAAACGAGAGGCGGAGAGTGAGTGTGTGTTGTTGTGAGAGAATGAAACGACTTGGAGAAATTTCGACACTCATCAGGTGTAAAAATGAGGGTAGAAGAGTAATTGCACAGTAAAAGTTAACACTGTCAAATGTTTGTTCATTGACTGTTAAAAGCAGGGGGTATTTGTAGATTTTGATAGTACAGGGGGTAAATGCGACATTTTCGATAGTACAAGGATGCAAACTGTAATTCATCCTATATTTTATATGAAAAATATAAAAATCGAAGGGTCAAGTAAATATAAACCTTAGAAAAGATTAATTGGTATCATGAATTTTATGTTGCATTTTTCCTTATAAGAAAATATATGTTTCCATTTGTTCTTAGTTCTTACTACATGTGTTTTTATTTACTCCGTTTTGTCAAACTCTCTTTTGGAATTTCTTGCATTTTCCTGCAAAATTTCAAAAAAGATAGAAAAGTATTGTGAAAATTTTCATTGTATCCGAATTTGGAACAAGAGATTATAAACTAGTGTAATTTCCGAAATTTTTTATCCGCCGAATCCGAGGCATTCCGATATCTAAATGATTTTTTGCATTCCGGTTTTTTTGGACAATAAATTAGAACCCACTTTGTACTTCCAAAAAAAATATATATATTTATAGAAAAAGCCATTTCCAATCCATTACGTCCGATTTCCACCCTGACACACTTCGTACATACATAAAAATTTAGATGCACAAAATCAAAAAACATAGTACAGAACAAACATATTACACCTAATTAGCTTCATCAAGAAATGGATAATCAGTGTAACCAACGACAGGATCCGGAATGCCAAACGTGCTCCGATCGTACTTATTAAGAGGAGCATCCAACTCGTACCTTCTCACTAAATCCGGATTAGCCAAAAACAAGCGTCCATACGTAACCAAATCCGCGTAGTTTTCAGAAATGGCAAAATTACCCTTACTCCTATTGTATCCACCGGCAGCAATAAAAGTATTCTTGAAAGCCTTTCTCATTGGAAGTAGCTTATGAGGATATTCATCTTCCGGCCCTTGAAGCACCTCCGCACCTCTAACTCTCGGTTCGATCACATGGAGATACACAAGGTCGAATTTATTGAGTTCGTTCGCCAAGTAAAGGCCTAATGCATCGGGATCGGAGTCGATCGACTCCATAAAATCGGAGTATGGAGATAGTCTTATTCCAACTCTATTAGATCCGATCTCTTTGATCACTGCTTCCACTATTTCAAATGCAAAACGGCACCGATTTTCTAAGCTCCCACCGTATTCGTCTGTCCTGTCGTTGACTTGATCTTTGAGGAATTGTTCGATTAAGTAGCCGTTTGCTCCGTGAATCTCAACTCCATCAAATCCTAGAAGCATGATAAACAAAAAAAAAAAATAAGTAATTTTTGTTTATATTATGATAAGTTGTGGTGGAAGGAGGTATGTACATTTTATTGTAACAGTCAAATCATGTTTCTGAATTCAATTCAATTCAGGAAAAAACGAAAAAATGGCGGAGTAAAAGTATATATTTGTATTTTAGTGGAGATATTTTGTGTTTGTATATCAGAGTTTTAAATTAATTTTCGAATTATGTAAATGAAATTGAAACTTAACAAACGTTTGGAGCCATCTAAAAAAATTTACAATTGGAATTAAGAGGGCACGAAACCTGCTTCCATAGCATTGCGAGCGGCGACCCTAAAATCATTGACAAGACCGTGGATTTCATCTTTCGTTAGTTGTCTAGGTGGGGCCCAATCTACTCCGTCGAGGCCGGGTGTAATTCCTTTGTCCGTTGGTGAGATTGGAGCTTGCCCGTTGGGTTGAAAATCTTATCACCAAATAAAAATGAGTTAAACATCATTTTAGAAACAAGTATGTAAGTATAATAGGGAAGTTAAATGCTACTACACCTAGTTATTAACACCGGGTGGATTTGAACCGTAGATCTGATTAAATAACTACCCACTAAACACACATATACATAGACGTGTGTGTGTTTGATTATGTGTAGATCTAAAGTTTAGATTCAGCTAGTGTAAATATCCAGGTGTAGTATCTAAATTCCCGTATAATAGCATATAATACCATAAGTAGAGACACGGCCAACATGCCATATTTGCAAGAAAAAGATGGCACCCTTTTGATGAACTGCATCTACAATTGGCTTCCATGCCTCCACTTGCTCTTTTGTCCAAATCCCGGGTGTATCTCGGTACCTATATATATAATTTAAATTTGAAATAATTAATTATTAATATAAGGTTGCATTTGGATGGGAGGATTTGATCAGCGACGAAGGTTTTCGAATTCAATTACAATAACAAATTCATTGAACTTGATTTTTATTCCAGAAAAGATTTTAAAAAAATATATTGTGCAGGGTTCTATTCTCGTTAGATTCGGTTGTAGGCCAATTAAAAAAAAAAAAAGTACCCTTGTGAAGTGTCGGATACACCGGTAGCTTCGGTAATGAGAAGACCGCCTTCGGTTGCTCTCTGAGAGTAATACAGTGCCGCGTGAGGCTGCGGCACGTTCTTGTACGACCGCCCTCGGGTTAGTGGTGCCAGCACAATTCTGGTGTTCAAGAACAAAACACCAGAATTATGATCGCAATCTTGAAAAATTATGTTTTCATTCCAATTTTCACAACTACGAATTTCGAGAAGAGCCGAGAAAACAAACCTGTGAGAGAGATCAAATTCCCCCATTTTGAAATGAGTAAGCAGAGGAACATTTAGACTTGTAGTAATGCTATTATTTTGAACTGCCATCACTCTTACTTATTATTTCTATGTCAAAAATGTGAAGAAGGGAAATATATATATATATATATAACTTGAAAAGTTTATGTATATATTTCACGTTGTACATGTAGTTGGATAATAAAAGCTCAGAAAATAAATAATTAATGCCATATGTGAAGTGTTTAATCTCCATAACTCATTCAATTAATTGAGGTAGCTATTTCCCCGTTGTGGTTAATAGGGTGGCGTCCTTTAGTTTTCTGTTAAAATTAATTGCACCTACCAAACGCTAAAATACTTTTTTTTTTTTTTTTTTTTTTTTTAGATGACTCCCCTTATGCAGTTATGCTTATGTTAATTTTTGCAGATGACCCCTTTGAAGTGTGATACGCGCATGGTTAAGTTTGATGGAAAAACTAACGAACGCTACCTCTATCATCTAAAAGGGGTTTATATGCCGACATTAAAAAAAATATATAAAAATTTGACGCAGAACGGAAGCACTATAAAGAATTAATTTCTACGAATTAATCCTATAGAACATGATAAATCTGGAATCCACCAGATAATTGAGAGAAAACTCCGAAATTTTATTGATAATTAAAGATGCTGAAAAATAAATCCTAGAGCAACTATTTATACTAAAGAAAACGAAAAAACCTAATCAAACTAGGAAAACGAGAAAATTACCAAAAAGGGCAAAAAAAAACGAAATAACTCCTAAACCTAATAGAATACCGAAAATTTGAAACATCCCAACTTGTTGAATTCAAATCCGAATTTTCTAGAATTAAGTATGAATTATTTAAAGAAAATCCTAAAATAGCAAAAACGTCGTTTTGAAGGCCTAAACGACCTCGAAACGCCAAAATTCATCGCACATCACAGCATAACTAGAGGTTTAACTCCCCCGTCGTTTTGGTTCGAAAAAACTTGGCCCCACACAATTCCGACTCCGCCACCTCTGCATCAAAATTGGCCTTTCTAATTAACCGAATTGTTTTCCCTTAATACTAATAAGGGTAAATTACAACCAACCCCCTGAGGAGGTATGGTCAAATCACGGGAAAAAAAAACCCTCATATTTGGATAATTATAATTACCTTCCTCAACTATGAATTTTCTTACACGTCAATTCTTATGGTGCCAAATTAAATAGAATCTTCTAAATTTATGAAATGTTCTCTAGTTTGTACTCGTTTTGTGTAAAAATACAGTTTATGATGCACCACAATCTGATATGTACAAGTAAAAAAATACATCTTCTGATCATCTTGCTTAAAAATGTGGGGCTTGAATGGGATAAAATGGGTACAAAATTGAGAATATTCCATATTTTCTAGAAGATTCCACTAAATTTGATACTGTAATGGTGGACGTGTAAGAAGATTTATAGTTGAGGGGTGGTTGTAATTATCCAAACATGAGGGATTTTTTCGTAAGTTAACCATACATCAGGGGTTGGTTGTAATTTACCCCCAACTAATGAACAACAAGAAAGCCTTGATTGTAATTTATTTTTAAAGAGAAAATAAATTTAAAAAAAAAAAAATCCTTTTTAGATGCTCCTCCACTTATTGAGAATCAATGGGAGATAAAATTCGTTGGGAAGATTCGTGGGTCTTTTATTGGAGATAGCGTAACGATTTTGAACTTTTTCATTGACTCAACTGTAAGTATATATATATGATATATCCCCTTCGATCACTATTTCTTTAATTACGTATGGAGCTAAAACTCTATTAGTCGTTTGATTAATTTGTCACATTATGCTCTGACTGAAAACTTTTACCTCTCTAGACTTTTTAATTGAGACTTTCTGGTATTTCCTCATTCATACAACAATATTAGGGAAAATATCGAAAAAGTCCCAATTTAAAAATCTTATATAAAAAAAGTCCAAGAAATATTGTTCTGTGTGAAAAGTTCCAAAATCAAAATATTAAGGGCAAATTACAGCCACCTCTTGATCGAGGTAAGGTCAAACTACGAAAAAACCGCTATTGTTTGGGGTAATTATAACTACCTCCCTCCTTTTAAATATTTTCAACTAAATTTACTTAATTCGGTTATTTATCGAACCAAATCGTATATTCGGTTCGGTAAACGGTATGAAATGTAGGTGTACCGAGATTTTGGTTCAGTTTTTTACCGAACTAACATCCTTAAATACCTCTGATGGGGGTTTTTTGTAAGATAATACATAATTGAGGGGTGGCTGTAATAACCCAAACATGAGGGGGTTTTCATATGACCTTAACTCGAGGGGTGGCCGTAATTTGCCCAAATATTAATATTAGGGTATTCGTATGTTTTCACGAAAAAATTGTAACAAAGAATTCGGAAAAAAGAACAAATGTGAGAGACGGATCAAATTCTCCGCGATTTTGTACTTCTTACTTCTTATTAGAGCGTAAATAATATTGAAAGTTTCAGAGTAATAATTATTCCCTCCATTTCTAATTAATTATCGTCAGGGCCGGTCCGGCGTATTCGGCGTATTCGGGGGCCCGGGGCGAGAATATAATTGTTCGATAGTTCAGGGGCGACGTTCGAATTTTTTTTCTCCACATCTTAAGCTTTAATGAAATAATATAATTAAATTATTTATTAATATAAACCTCATAAATAGAAGTTTGAAAATATTAATATCTAGATAAAACACTTTTCTGTAAAACAAATGTTAGAATAAAAAAAACTCTAAATTTCAAATCTATTGTTAAAATAAATTTATAAAAAAAGAATAAAAGAGTAGAAATATTTTTATTAATAAAATAGAAAAATGATTTTTTTTAATTATAAAACAATTTTTGCACGTAAAAGTATATAATATATATTAAAATTTTGAAAATTTGGGCCCCCTATGAAATTGGATCCTGGGCGTGGGCCCTGCTCGCCCAATCCCAGGGCCGGCCCTGATTATCGTTTCCAGTTTGCACATGCATTAAAAATGTCAATAAAGGTGTCTTGATTTTAGGAAAAAAAAACACATTAAAAAGACTAAAATAACCTAAATCATTTAATTACACCAAAGGCTATATCTCTTGGCCGGATAAGTATTTGATGGAGAAATGTAAATTTATGGTGACTCAACGGCTCGTTAGGGTACCAGACCCGGATCCGATGCCCACAATGACTCAATTCTCATTGGAGTTGAATTTCGCACACTGCGGCTGCCAGAATTCGATTTTAGGACCTTGCACCAACTTATCATCCCAAAACCAGTTGAACTATATATACTCATGCGGGCACCTCGATTATTTAATGATTGGATAAGAGATGATTATACTTAAGAGTTGTATTAATAAGATTAAAACATTGAAAATTATATTTCATGCAGTATTGAAAATCTAAAGTGACAGATAACGTGGAATACAAATATCTGGAAAAAGATACCGTTAGTACAAAACAGGAATAATATTTTGAGCAAAACAGAAATTGTCTGAATGAAGAATTGATTTTGTATATATATATATTTTGACAGTCACATCATTTTCTCCTCACTGGCAGTGGCAGCCGACAACTGATGTACATGTACTTGCAGAGTTATGGTGCACTTCGTATTGTCACAACTCACAAGGGTTGTTGAAAACGGTTGACTTAAACTTGTCAAATTAAATAAAATAGGGTTAAAAACACTTCGCTGTTTGAACGATGTATATTGTACGAATACATACGCCTTAAAGTATCATTTGTGACACTTACTCCTATCAATATTAATTATTTCATATTTTAAAATTGAAAATATAATAAATATAACAATCTAATAATTTTCAGATCATAAAAAAATGAAACATAACTAAAATTAAATTATTGGAAAAAAATTTGAAAGTAATATATATTGTACAATAATGAATAAAAATATATTTTAAGAAATTAATAAACTAAAATAAATTTAAATATAAGATTATTAGTAATTATATATGTATTGATTTCTTAAAATTTATCGATATTAATATATTCAATTAGTCTGTCCAACAACAATTAGATGTTATTTATTGGACCAAACACAAGATAATATTTTTAAATTTTTAAATATTGAATTTTTCAAAAGATATTTTTAATTGTATAATTTAATTATTCTTTTAGTTATTCCTTTCAGTAAAAGAATTTTTTTAAGGTGTTAGAATTTAAAATAGAAATTAAATTGTGCTTGAGGGAGGTAAGTGTTACAAATGATATTTTAGGGGTAAGTGTTACAGACGGTATACTTTGGGGGTGTAAACTGTATTTAACCCAATAAAATGTCTAGGATGACTAGCCGATTTAGAGGGTGTTTGGCTAAGCTTATAAGATGTTAAAAGGAGCTTATAAGATGTTTTAGAGCTTATAAGCTCTTCCAAAGTGTTTGGTAAATTTTTAAAAAAAGATCTAATTTTTTTTTTTAAATAAACTGTTGGAGACCAAAAAAGATATTTTTAAATAAGGACCTCTACCCCACCTTTTTATTTAAGATCTTATAATGAGTAAAAATAAGAAATAAACTCATTATCCAAACATTCTAAATATTAATCATAAAAATAAGATGTAACAGTTTATCAGCTCTAAAAACATCTTATCAGACGTAAGAGTTTATCAGCTGTTTAAAATAAGTTTAGTCAAACACCCTCTTAGTTGCTAGTATTTTTCCTCATCCCATACATAAGATAACATTTCAAATTATTAAAAAATATTTATTTAAATATATGACAATAACAATTACATTCATAATTGACCGAAAAACACAGGATTTTTTTTTAAATAATTGAAATAAAATTTAATAATCTTTGAAGAGATAAAAATATAACAAAGGAAAAAAGAAACGTGTAAATTTAATAAGAGGCGTATGATTTAAAAATATGAGATTACTGTTGAAAGGATTTTATACGATTTGGGTAGAAGTTTGTATTTTTCATATTAGAAAATTAGTATATAAAAAAAGAAAAGAAAAATATATAATTACAAAGATGCCATAAGTTGCTTAGAGTTGCGTTTATTTCTTTTATATATAAAGATTTTTCCCAGTGGAGTGCGGTGCAGTTTTTTATAAGTGAAATTAGAAATTAGTCGGTAAACTAAGAAAAAAAC